TTATAATTCTTAATTTGGTTTAAATGAATCATATGTTTTGAATTTATCATTAATTTTCCAATTAATTTTCCAAGTTGTTAGTAGTTAGATATGAAATTATACCCTACCATTAATTTGGGATTCAAAATATTAACTTGACATTTGAAAATATAAAGCCTTAATTTTATGCCATATGTCCTCATATTGTAATTTAAAAAGGTCAAATTGTATAATAAATTTTTGTACTTTAGTCAAATAATGAAATTTGTCCCTTTATCTCAATGTCTTCAAATTGAACTCCTATGTTTCAATAAATTAGTAAATTTAATCAAATTGTTAACAGTTCAAACTTTTTTATTTAAAATTAATTATGTAGCATTCTAACTTTTCTAGTATGGCATTTTTGCTTACATGGATTTGACTTTGCTAACATGTCAAGTCTACGTAGTAAAATGATAATATGACAACAAAATTTTTACCACGTCAACATTTTTCTCATAAACTTTTCTCAAATTATATAGCTCATTTTTATACTTTGGTTAAATGATGGAATTAGTCTTTTTACCTTAATATGTGTTTCAATTTGGTCCCTATACATCTATTCATTTTTGAATTTAATATTTGACATAAATAAGTAAAATAAACTTAAAATAAAACACAAAAAACTTTTCAATGCAAATAGGTCAAGTCATAATAAAGTCAATGCATAATGCATAGGTCAACACATGAGTTGCATCTGACCTATCTTCTAAAATGGCTTACTTTTAACCTATTATAAGAACAAAAAATCATTTTTTTAATTTTTCCTATTTTCTCTTCTCTCTCATCCTTGTTTTTCTCATACCTCTCTATATAAGTCTCATTTAACAAACTCATAATTTAATGAGATTTCTAAAAACCAATGTTTGAAATAATTCAATGATCCAACAAAAATTTATCCTAAAAATCACTAATACCTAGAAATCTATCATCGACACCACCATTTTTGTACCATTGTCCAAAGCAAAATTGAGCATAATACCATAAAAATTTTAAACCTAAAACCTCTAAAAAAGAATTTCTCAACAAAAAATTATTTTTAATTTTTTTGTTAGTTATTTTGCTATGTTATCTTGTCAATTGTTATTGAATTCTCAAAATTTTCACAAATCAATCTTTCCAAAAAATTTTTTCATATTTTCCTTATTTTTTCAATTTTAGACTTGCTTTTTTTTTTTTTTTTTAACTTTGACTTTTTGACTTTCACCAACTAAATAATAAAAATAAATTAAAAAATAATAAATAATAAATAAAATACTTTTGGGCCTTTAAATTTCGACTTAAAATTGAATTTTACAATTAAAATCCAATTGATCCAAAAATGATTTTAGAACCCAATGTTGAGACGAAATTTGAAGCCCATTTAATATTTAAAAATTTTTTGGACAAAATGAAATGTTTACAATTACTTTTATTGTTGATTGTGTATCTAGATTTGTTGGCTTTGTTGATTATGAATTTCTTGATCTAACTTTTATGTTTATAATATTTTTAAAGTTTTTTTAATTATTTAATTATTTTTTAATTTTTTACTTCAAAAATATAGAATATAGAAATTAACAAAAATTCAAAATTCAAAATAACAATCAAAATAGATAAATAAAAGATAAAGAAAAGATATAATTCAGTTTATGTTTAGCTTATAATCTAATTTGAGATTAACCTAATTTGTTAAATTAAGTCCAATTAATAATTTGAATATCCAAAAAAATTATCTAAATATGAAAAAAAAATGTCATGGTCAAATTAATAATTTATATTATTTATATTTAATTTTAAATTAAATCTTAAATTCGATAATTAATTGATGTATAAATATCAAATTTAAACACACATTAAAATAAAAAAACTAATTTTATTATTTAACTACTTTATTTGTGTATCATTGTTAAACGTTTGTGATATGAACTACATTAACGTTTTGTCTGCAATATGACTTGATGTTTACAACTATTCTCTCAATTATTGCTATTGCATGCAAAAGAAAACTTCACATTATTTGATTATATAAATTATATAAAGCTAGCTCTGTCAACAATACACAAAACATGCTCAACTGTGGGGAAGCGCGAACATTTTTCTAGTTACTATTTAATCCATTGTATATTTCATATCAAATGTCAGAGAAAGCCTGAACCATGCATATAAAAATCATATATAATATCTCATTATATAGGCAAAAAGAAATGCAAAATTATATCAAACTTCCTAAAAATGAGTCTAAGGTAAAATGGTTGAATAGTGTAATACAAATACAAGCTAGTTTTTAATCCTATCATCAAATATATATATATTTAGGTATGTGTATATGTCACGGACCTAAGGGGGAGTCCTGAATCCCACATCGAACATAATAGGAGGGTTACTGGGGTATAAAAGGGTTCACACCATCTCTGCCTTGTGAGGCGTCTTTTGTAGGACAAAACCGTGAGGCCAGGGGGGCCAGAGCGGACAATACTTCACAAGGGTGTGAACCGTGACGGAAGGCTGATCTGGGACGTCGGAAGGGTGAATGCCCGGGTCCCGGAGCCGCGCGGGTTCGGAGCTTAAGTCTCGACCCGTGACAAGTGGTATCAGAGCCAGCCCTAAACCGTTCGATCCACGCCGAGCACCTCGAGGGAGGTAGGCAGGGTGGCCAGCCTCGTGACGAGGGCGTCACGAGGTTGGGTGTGGGAGAATGTCACGGACCTAAGGGGGAGTCCTGAATCCCACATCGAACATAATAGGAGGGTCACTGGGGTATAAAAGGGTTCACACCATCTCCGCCTTGTGAGGCGCCTTTTGTAGGATAAAATCGTGAGGCCAGGGGGGGCCAGAGCGGACAATACCTCACAAGGGTGTGAACCGTGACGGAAGGCTGATCTGAGACGCCGGAAGGGTGAATGTCCGGGTCCCGAAGCCGCGCGAATTCGAAGCTTAAGTCTCGACCCATGACATATATACATATGTTTGCGTAAGAAACACTAACTCTTAAAGAATGCTACTTTAACCCCTAGAAACAAATTTCTTTTGTTGATATCCATAGGCTAGGTGACTCGTTTCCCTACATTTATATGTCCTTTTTTAACTTATGAATTCATTTGATCTTCTTGATATCCATGATGTAATTAACAAGTAGTTAATTTAATTGATTAAAATTCATTATCTTCGACGAAGAGGTCTTCGGTTCGAGTCCTGCCAGTTGTCACTTATTAGGTTATCTCAAATGCATAACTTGCAATCATTTATTTTACACTATTAGATATGATATATATATTTTATCATAATCTGAAAAATTGAATAACTTATTTATCTTTAAACTTTTATTACAAAAAAAAAGTATATATATCCACCATGTAAACCCATATTTGTTTCCTTATGCCTTAGATAGATAGCATGCCGCAAACGTACTTGGAGCTGAGTCGGATGGAGAAGCATATTGTTTGATGGCCCTTGATGTCGGGTTTGATGTTGGAATATTTTCAAAATAAAAGGAAAGAAGCAAAGGATTCAAATGCGTTAATCAATTGAATGAGAAACTAGTATTTAATAAGTTACATAATAGCTTTGGAATGGTTACAAATTAAGAAAATTGATTAAAATCAAGAAACAATCAATTACAGAGATTGAGATTCAAATATCATGGTTTCATAATGAAAAGTAATTTATGAAAATATTTTTATACAAAGGACTTGAATGCCCAATTAAAGAGATTCAAATACCATGATCGAAACTTTGATTTGAATATTTATTTTGGCAAATTATAAATATTTAATTAGCTAATGTTATGAATGATATGGCATTGACATGGTAGCTTTGTCATTTTTCTATCAATTAATTTGGATGAAATATGATCGAATTTGGTATATTTAATAAACTTTAATGATTTTAATAAAATAAATTAAAATTTAATGATTTATATGAAATTATGATCAAAGTTTAATGATCATAAATAAAATTTACTCATAATTTTATCACTTATTAAAATGTTTAATAATCTAATTTTATTAGTGCAAAATAAATTCAAACATGATTTTATTATATCATACGAGTATTTGATTTACTTTATTTTATACAATAATGATGCGATGAAATAAAACTAAAATGAAAGTGACATGTAACGTGTTTTGATAAGTAGACTTTGTAATTCATGTTATTGTGTTATATTTTGTGTAAGATATGATTTTATATACTACACAAATAATTTTAACATAAATACAACACAAATATTTAAATGACACGAATAGCTTAAACATATAAATGACATATTTATTATATATGTTATATACGAAATGACATGATTAATATATTTAAATTAATTTATAGTTAAATAATATGATAAGATGAGTACGATTATATACGAATAATATAATTATATACGATTAATCAATTTATTTAAACAAAAAAATTATTTAAATTAGTATTTAAACAAAAAATTATTAAAAAATTAAAAATTTATAATTTATTTAAATACCAAAATGATATGATAAATAAGAATTTTAATTTATTTTTTAAATAAATTAAAATAATTAAAAAAAATTTTTATGTTATGAATAATATTATATTTTAGATGTATCATTACTATTTGATACGAATATAAGATGAATAATATTATATTTTAAGTATATTGATATAATTAAGATATGAAATATGATTACATTAAACTTATCGTAATTTTTTTCTTATCATATTTATATTATATTATCTTGTTATATTTAAAATTATTAGATCTATTGATACATCACTCAATCTTATGAAAAATTTATGAAGTAGTTAGAAAATTTTAAAGTATTTTTTTGTGAGATTTTCTTAATTTTACTCCAATTTATTAAAGAAAAGAAAAGAAAAAAAATCGATATAATTAATTGATATGAATGGAAATGTAACTGATGCTGAAGATACATCTCTACATTCTAGAATATGTGCAGCGCATCACCATTTAACACTCTATTAGCTCCAAAAAAGTCAAAAACAAAGTAGAAAAGGTAGAGGCCCGGACTAGAGTGGGAATTTACCCGCCAGCGCACACCAACTTCACCCGAAAGCCAAAATTGCTAACATGCGCTGACTCAATCCCCGATAACAAAAAAATAATTTGGTTAACCAAAGCATATCCTCTCTGCAATTCCAAAGACAAACCAAAGAGTCATTTTCATTTCCCCTTTCCATTGTCCGTCTATTTTCTTTTCTAACATACCAATAAAAAATTAATAATAATACTTTTCAGATATTTTTTTCTCATCATCATATGTTTTTTCTTGCAACAGGAACTGTTTTTACAAAAAGAAAATCAAGTGGCTGACTTGTCGCTCGGGAAAAATGGATCTGTGGGCAGTCCAACTGAAGAGCGCAACTGCTCGGAACCCTCCTCCTGCTGGTGTTGGTGGTGGTGGGGCTTTGTTGTTGAAGAGGAATTCGATTACTGAAAGACCCAAGTCCTGGATGATTGGAAAACTCGGAGTCTTCGAGATCAGGGTTTCAAGGCGATGCCTTTCTTCATCTGTCCATCGTTCTTTCTCCATTAAAGCTATGGCTAAGAAGAATAATCACGATAATTCCTCTTCCTCTTCTTCTTCTGGTATGCCTTTTTTTTTTTGGATAAAGAAGCAGCTTTTGGCCATTTTCAGTCATAAGTTTTATATGTAATTGTTGAAGCTGACTTGTGTTTAAGCATGATTGGTTCAATTATGAGGGATCTTGAACATCAAGGGATAGTGACTGACCATTTAATTGAAAAGCAAGGGTAATGATAGTTTTGAAAGGTTGAATTAGTAATTTGATGTACTAGTCTTAACTGTGAAATTGGTTTTGTTCATTGGGATTTCAGTTTGTACTAGTTGGCTTATATATGAAGTTATTAAGTCCTAAATGTTGGAGTCTTTTTCTTATTGGAGCTTGAATTGTAGTTTTGGTACTGAGTCATGCTCTATAGCTTGTTTTGGTTCAGTTATCAGTGATAGTTAAGACCCTTAGTTATCCTGGCATTATAGTTCATTTCAACTGTTGCTTGGATTGTTTGTTGTTTCACTTTGTAAAGAAAAGCAAGTGGTTAGCGATCTGGGACAGCATCTGCTTTTGTTCTTAGTGTTTGGGTTTCATTATCCATGATGTAGCATTTCACTGCATACTGTCTTACTAAGGGTTAGTTTAACATTGAGGTAGAAAGTGGCTTTTGCGTTAAAAAACTGTTTTTTTACCCAACCTAAATGCTAAGCAACACAAAAAAAATGTGGTTTTTCAGTTTAAAATCTGGTTTGTAAACCCAAACCAAAAAGTTAATAAAGAGGTGCTTTAGTTTTCAACCATAATTTCTGTGGGTAAAATTCCTCATATCTCTAAACTTTTATTATTTTATGCATATCTTTTTGGACATTTTATTTCAACACAATACTTTTTCATAGTAATGCCAAACAGTTAAACTTCTTAAATCATATTTTTCTCACCACACTTTTAAATACACTTTTACCAACCCAAATTTTTTCCAAACAACAGTTACACTAAACTAGGCCTAAGACTTTGGGTAGGATGAATATTTTAACTAAGTTTATTTTTGGTTTGGTCTAAAAGAGGAGACATTTGATGGATTCTTGTCTTGAAATCTAGCATGGCTTCTATTCTCATGCATATGGAAAATATATTTCCTTAATTTACGTCTTGAATTATTATTATTATTATTATTTCAAAATTCTTTTTTCTTTCTTCTTTCATTTTTCTATCACACAGTGGAATTTGATGAAATAATTTTCTTACAAAGGAAACCTTGGATAGTGACCAAGGACTTCTAAAATTTATTTTATTTGTTTGTGTGATCTTTGCAAATTAAAGGGTGCCATCATCTTGGATCTCTCTATCCCTCTGCTTTGTTGATTGTGATGAGATTGACACCTCAGAGGAAAAATACTAGGGAAGCTCCTTTTTTTGTTTTTGAACCAAATGCTACATTTTGCTTGTGTTTCAACATCAAGGTTGATCTTGTCCACAGGACTGTCATAATATTAAATGCTTTCTTTGATATTATTTTATGTGAAAATAGACACTGGAGATTTGCTTTTCTTGATGAATCTAAAGTCCCCATCTCTTTATTGAATCATGTAGGAAGTTAGTGTATCTATTCTTTGGCTTTTTTGTTCTTTCTCCATTTCTTCCAAAATAAGCAAAAGTTCATGAAAATTGTAAAAGAGAAAATGTTAGTGGGAAGAGTATTAATGCAGTAAATGAAAATGCGATAATAACCCACAACCAACCTGATAAAATTCATTTGGATTTGGTAGATGCTCTTATAGCACCTTACTTTTGGTCCTCAAAACTTTTTCCTTGATTTCAGCCTTATATTTTTCCTTTGGTCCCTCTCAGTTTCTCTCTCTCTCTCTTGTTTCCTTAATTCATCCAATTATAACTGTTAGTGTATGCGAGTGAGTTGGAATATTATGAGAATATTCCATGGGGGAGAGTTTAGAAGGGATTAATTGAGAGCATTAATGTGTAATTTGTAATTGATTCTTTTTCCTTAATATTGTCTATATAATGAAAGGTTAATCCAAGGGATTAGTAAGTTGTTCTCTAAAGTCTTAATTCTAACATGGTATTAGAGCTAGCAATGCAACCCTAGCCGTTGTTGCTCCCTTTCTATCTTTCCCCAAACCCCTCTGCGATAGCCCCTACGTCACCCCCCAAGCCATCGCTACTACAAACTTTAATCTCACAGTCCTAAAGCTGTGTACTTAAAGCCTTTCCTTCCTCTTCAACAGTCCCTCATTAGTTGAAATGGGGTCGCCCCCTTATTCTCAAAGGTGGCAAGAAGAAAGGGTTGTGACCTTTTCGTGAATGATAGATTAAAGGAGATAGGTTCTTCCTAGTGTAGAGCGTGGCTGTAGAACTAGGGATGGAGTTCCTGGTTGCTAATTAAGGTCCCTGATTGAAAGATTACCAGTTGTGTTTTGGAGGAAGAAGGTTCTATTGCCATGGCCAGGGAAAAGGCAATCGCATCAAAGGTGATGACTCAAGAGATTATCACTAGCTCACGGTTGTCGAATAAGGAACTTGATGACTCAATTACTTGTCATGGAGCAAGATTGTGTTGGTGAACTTGCAAGGTCTTGGAAAGGCTCGATTTCTAACAAATGAGCCGCTAGCAAAGGAAAGCTCGGAGTATGTAGCGTGGGAGCAAGACAATCGGATACTTGGACAATTGTTCAACTCAATGGAACGACAAGTCAAGGTGATGTTCAATATACCTCATAAGGAACTTTGGGATGCTTTAAAAATTGTTTATGCAAATTCTGAGAATTGGTAGGATCTCAGATGTTATTAGAGCATGGACTAAAATGGAGTAGTTTCGATAAAGGCTTGAGGGAATATTTTGCTATGTTCAAGGAGGTAAATGACGAGTTTAATGAACTCATGCCTTTGTCTACCGATCTAAGGACAAATCAAGAGCAACAAGAGGCTTTAGTTGTAGTGTTTTTCTTAGCAGGGTTGAGAAAGGAGTACTCTAGTGCTAGTACTCAAATGTTAGTAGCTAGAGATCCACTTTCTTTATTGGATGCTTATAAGTGCTTGGGTAGTGTTACCTAGCATGATCCTCCACAAGGAGACAGGGTAGTATTTGTGGCCCTACGGCTTGAAGGGCTAGCAACACGTGGAGGACACGGTGGACGAGGTAGAGGACGTGGAGGTGGTAGAGGAGAGCCACGGTCTTGTTATCATTGTGGATAGCAGGGACACTTACAAAATGTTTTTTTGCATCTTTGGGGCAATTCTGGCCCACCAATGCCATATGTGATTGATGCTGCAGTTCAACCCTAGCAGCAAGAGAAGAAGGGAGTTTAGTTATTCTAGGATGAGTATGATAGGCTTATTTAGATGCTTCAAAATCAAACTTCAATCTCTTTTCTAACAGTAGCTTTTATACAAGGTAAATCTATTGCATGCCTGGCTACCCCTTTAAGGACTTGGGTGATTGATTCAGGAGTTTCGGATCACATGATGGGTACTACAATTACTCTTTATTCATAGACTCTTATAACGGGAAACATTTTGTTTTGGTTGCTGATGGAAACTCTATAGATATTGTGGGAAGTGACAAGGCTTGACCTATATCCATGTTACCTTTACATTTTGTGCCGCATGTCCCTTCTTCTCCTTTTAACCTACTTTTAGTTTGTCAGATTACTAGGAATTTTAATTGTAGTGTCTCCTTCTTTCCTATTTATTGTGTTTTCAGGATCTGTTGACGAAGTAGAGTATTGGTAGGGGAAAGATCGAAGGAGGTCTTTATGTGCTTGATGACATACAGAAGATATAGTTTGGACTAATGGCATACTTAGGAGAATTGTTATTAGCTTATGAGTTTCATTATTGTTTTGGTTATCCATCCATGTCAACTTTACGAGCTATATGTCCCCATTTATCATCTTTTAGTTCTGATTGCGAATCATGCAACTTTGCCAAACTGCACAGAGTGTCCTATCGACCTCGATCTAATAAATGAGAAAAGTTTTCTTTTGCTGTGATTCATTCTGATGTATGGGGCCCTTGCCCTATTATATCGAAATATGGTTATAGATACTTTGTGACATTTGTTGATGATTATTTACGAGTTTGTTGGTTGTACTTGTTGCGGAGCGGTTCCGAATTATTCTTTGTCTTCACTACTTTTGATGTAGCAATAGAGAATCGATTTGTTAAGTCTATCAAAATTTTATGGAGTGATAATGGGGGAGAGTATTTTTCTACAAAGTTTGTTCAATTCCTAAATGCAAAGGTATTGTTCATCGGTCCTTGTGTACAAATACCCTGCAATAAAATGGGGTTACTGAAAGGAAGAATTGCCATTTGTTGGAAGTGGTTAGATCTCTTGTTTCAAATGAAGGTCCCTAAAGTGTTCTAGAGTGAAGCTATCCTCACAGCATGCTATCTTATAAGTCTTTTGCTGTCTTTAGTCCTTGAAGGAAAAGTTCCTCTTCAAGTGTTGTGTCCTGATCATCCCTTATTTTCAATCTCCCTTAAAGTGTTTAGGTGTACATGTTTTGTTCATGACGCTCGTTTGGGTCGCACTAAATTAGACCCACGTTCCCTTAAGCATATCCTAGGTATTCACATGTCTAGAAAGGGTATCGATGCTACTCTCTAGACTTGGATCGCTTTATTATTTTGGCAGAGGTTGCGTTTGATGAGTTGGTTCCTTTTCCTTCAATACTACAGTCTCATCTATCACCTATCATATCAGAAGAAGATTTTCTCATCTATCAAATACATTGTACATTGATCAATGCATCTCTTTCTGAGGCATGCCCTGATGCTCGATTTAGTTGTATGTATACTAGAAGGACCTACGTAGATTTGCTTGTGGAAATTTCCTTTGTCAAGGTAATCTCTTCGTTGATGGATCCACCTTGAGACACTATAGCTGAGGATGTATCAATTGCTCTAAGGTATGCGAACTTGCAGAAAATTTCCTTTATATATGCCCTTGTACAAAGGACTTTTTGCCCAACTTCAAACTTATATTGCCACAATTGATGCTATTACTGTGCCGTGTACTCTTCGTGATTCTTTTGTAGATTCAGGATGGCATAAGGCTATGGAGGATGAGATGATGGCCTTAGAGGCCAACCATACATGGGACTTGGCTTCCTTGCCAGAAGGGAAGCAAGCTATTAGGTGTAAGTGGGTATACACCACAAAATTGAATCTTGATGGTTCATTGGCTAGATTGAAGGCAAGGCTAGCAGCGAAGGGATATGTGCAAATATATGGAGTAGATTATTTTGATACCTTTTCACCAGTGGCAAAGATGACATTTATTCATTTATTTCTCAATTTTGCTGCTACACATAGACGGACATTACATTAGTTGGATGTGAAGAATGCTTTTCTACATAGTGACTTGGTTGAGAAAGCATATATGGAGCAACCATTGGGGTTTGTTGCACAGGGGGAGTCTGGGAAGGTGTGTCGTTTGCGTAGATCTTTGTATGGCTTGAAGCAATCTCCGTGTGTGTGGTTTTGGCAAATTTAGTGCAACTCTTGTTTAGTATGGCATGCGGCAGAGTGAGAAGGATCATTTAATATTTTATATATCTACAAGTGCTAGCCTTATATTGTTTGGAGTGTATGTAGATGATATTATCATCACTGGTAGTGATAGTGTAGGGATTGACAGAGTTAAGATGTATCTTAAATCCTAGTTTGAGACCAAGGATCTTGATCAATTGAAATATTTTTTGGGTATTGAAGTGGCAAGGTGTAAAAAGGGAATCTTTGTATCTTAGAGGAGGTATGTGCTAGATAATTTGAGAGATGTAGGTTTGTTCCATGCCAAGCCAAGTGACCCACCGTTTGATCCAGGTATCAAGCTTTCTCCAAAAGATGGCGCTTTAGTTGATGATCCCACACGTTATAGGAGACTAGTTGGAAAATTGAATTACCTAACCATGACAATACCTAGTATATCTTTTCTAGTGAGTGTAGTTAGTCAGTTCATGGCAGCTCCCAGAGATACTCATTGGAAAGTAGCTATGTGTATCTTTCGATATTTGTTGAGAAATCCTAGAATGGGGATACTCTATAGTTCTACTAGTGATAGGGGTATTTAAGCCTATGCAGATGCAGATTGGGTAGGCTCTCCCATAGATAGGAAGTTTATGGCTGGTTATGCTATCTTCCTTGGGAGTAATATGGTGTCTTGGAAAAGCAAGAAGTAGCAAGTAGTTGCTAGGTCTAACTCAGAAGTTGAGTACGGAGGCATAGCTTTGGCTACAATAGAGGTATAATGGATGGTTCAATTCTTAGATGAAATTGGGCTTTCGGGTCAGACCCCTACTGTGTTATGGTGTGATAATTAGGCGGCAATTCATATTACTTCCAATCCAGTATTTCATGAAAGAACCAAGCATATAGAAGTTGATTGTCATTTCATCAAGGAAAGTTGCAGAGTGGAACAATATTATTGAAGTACATGTGCACAAGGGAACAACTAGCTGATATTCTCACGAAATCACTTTCAGGAGTTCGAGTTAACTATATATGTAACCAGCTGAGCATGACTGATATATATACTCTAACTCTAACTTGAGGGGGAGTGTTAGTGTTTGCGAGTGAGTTGGAATATTATGGGAATATTTCATGTGAGAGTTTAGGAGGGATTAATTGGGAGCATTAATATGTAATTTATAATTGATTCTCTTTCTTTAGTATTGTCTATATAATGAAAGGCTAATCTAAGGGATTAGTAATTTATTCTCTAAAGTCTTAATTCTAACAATAACTTGGTGTAAGATATTGATGCTTAAATTTGCATTTGAGAGTTTTTGAATTTAACATTGTTTTGGAATGTTTTTGATAATGAATCCAGGAAATGGTGATCAATCTATTCCTAATGGAGACAGTTCAAGAAGAAATAATTCTTCAGACAGCAATAAATCTGATGACTCTGCTTCCCAGAAGTCCTACAATGCAAACACCGACTGGAGAGAGTTCAGAGCAATGTTATACTATAATTATCAGGTGATATTTTTTATTACCTGAATTATGTACCTGCTTGTTCTCCAGTAATTGAGAGTTAAAATTATTTAGATAGTTATCTTTTCTCCCTTCTAATCAGTTTATTATAATTTTTGTCTAGTTTGGATCACAAGATCCCTAGAAGGTCCAATGTCAATAACTTCCATTTTATGGCTCTTCTCAGTTGATGGACATGAATAAAGAATCTACATGAAGTTTCATGAAGTAAATCTGTAGATATTCAACAGCCCAATGGGGACCTTGGAAGCTTTTGGGGCAAATTAAAGTAGAATTTTGGCTTCTCAGATATATATATATATACTTTTAAATCTTAACAAAGTTACCACCCTCATTGTTTCTAACATACAAATGGAGTCTAGCTTAACCTACAGTACCCCTCCATTAGGAAATTGGCAATATTGGGGAAAAAGGAAGTAGAATCCTGAATATCCAAAAAAGGCAAAAAATTCTCTTAGTGTCTCTATGATACAGATTAGTATGGTCAAGGTGTGCGCATGTGTACTAAGGTGCAGCACAAGTCAAATAAAATGCCTTGTTCCCCCTCAGACGAGGTGCCATTGATCAGTTGCATGCCCTTTGTGCCTAGGCTTGCTATTTTTTTTTTTTAAAGGCAAAAAGTGCACCTGACTTGAGTGTCTTTTGGTTTCTTTAATTTTTAATTTCTTTGATCAGGTTTTTTTTTTTTTCAATTGTCAAAGTAAAAAAAAGAAAAGAAAGATAATGTTATCTCCATTTACAAGGATAAAATATATTGTCCATGCACAATCTTTTATTGAAGATTGAAGTGAAGGAAATTGCACCTTCTTTGCCCACTTTACTTGATTATGATAATTGTTGATCTTTGGAACACATTAAACAATGTAAGATGTAATTATTTAATGTCTTACGAACAAAATCATATTATTAGTACTGTACATAAAATTTTTTTGTCTTATATATGTTATTTATCTTTTAAAAATCAGTTCTTATTTTACTTGGCAGCTGCTCTTTTTGTGCCTTATGGCTGGGGCCATGTAAACCTAGTTTTGTGCCTTTCACTACATTGATACAGATGTAGTCTATTTCTTAAACCTAAAGTTGAATCTGGTCATATTGGTAAACCCCTTTGTTGCTTTTTATCACTTTCTGCTTTGGATATTCTGCATTTGGAAGCAAAATCTGTATACTTAATTTTATCGTTATTATTATTATTTTTTTAATTTTTAATATATTTTTTGCAAGAATTGCCATCTATCTTGACTGGTATTTATGTCCAATAACTTTCTACGTTGCTCCTGCAGAAACATAAGAAAATTATTTAGAGCAAAAAAAAGGGTTAATTTTTCCTTTGCTGAGATGTTGGCTATACTCTCCTTTCCTCAATGTCAGTTGGGTTTAGGGGAACATAACAAGCGTTACAAGCAATGTATAGAAAAATTTGGAATTCTTGCTCTAAACTTTTGCATAACTTTTAGCAGGTAGAGAAGTCGGAGTCAGATGCTCATGAACAAGGTGGGATGCCTCATGTGTCGAAACCTCTTGGTCCAAAATGGGCCCACCCTCTTTCAGTGCCTGAGACCGGCTGCGTTCTTGTTGCCACAGAGAAGCTTGATAGAATTAGCACTTTTGAACGATCGGTGGTTCTCCTTTTGACATCTGGAACCAGACATACACGAGAGGGGCCATTCGGAGTTATTATCAGTCGCCCACTTCACAAGAAGATCAAAAACACGAAACCCACTGTTAATGAATTAGCTACTACGTTTCCTGATTGTTCTCTGCACTTTGGGGGGCCTCTTGAAGCGAGTATGTTTCTTTTAAGAGTGGGAAAAAATTCCAAGTTTCCTGGGTTCGAAGAGGTGATTCCTGGCCTCTGTTTTGGTACTCGAAATAGTTTGGATGAAGCTGCAGAGCTGGTGAAGAGAGGAGTGCTCAAGTCTCAGGATTTCAAGTTCTTTGACGGTTATGCTGGATGGCAGCTGGTTCAGCTGAGAGAGGAAATTGAATCAGGTTGTTGGTATATGGCTGCATGTAGCACGAATCTTATTTTTGGAGATTCATCTGATTCTTCGTCAGAAAGTTTGTGGAAGGAGATTTTGCAGGAAATGGGTGGTCACTACTCAGAATTGAGCCGGAAGCCTAAGCAAGATATTTAGGTACCTACATGTTATCTGTGATTAGAGAATTAAGAAATTAATCTGGAAGTTGACTCTTGATGTGTAGGTGTTTATGAAACCAAATGTACATATAATTTAAATGGCTTTTTTACTCGGTAGATCCTCATTCTTCTTTTCTTCACTTCTCTTTCTATCTCTCTCTGTTTTTTTTACCTTTTTCTCCTTGATAAACTTTACTGCTAGTAATATTTGTATTTAATAGTATGTATACCTTTAAATTAATTGGCATGCATAGTGTAATCAAAGACCTGTTTCCAGTATCGTCAACAAGTTTGATTTGGTTGAGTTAATAAGGGTTCAATATTTCTTTTATAAAATTTAAAATTCAATTTCTGTTGTCATTTTTTTATTTTTATTTTCGTGATACGTAAGTCCAATATAAGTTATTTTTAGGTAATGTTAGATATAGGATGGTCATTTAAAAAATCAAGGTAATTTATGTAGGATGATCAAATCTTCGTGTTTGATAATTATTTAATAATTTTACATGATAATAATTTTGAATTATCGAGTGTGATTAAATCATTATTTTAAAAAATAATATAATTTTTATTCGTAGGGATAAAATTTTTATAATTGAATTGAAGTAATATATAAAATTAATAATAATCAATTTATATATTTAATATGTGTATTAAAAATTTATTTTTTAAAATTAATTGTTATTATTTTATATTATAATTTTCAAATTTTTAAACTAATATTTATGTAAAAAATTCAAAAATATTTTGTGGGAACTTTTAATCTTTAAATTATTTATAATATAAACTTTTGATTTTAATATATTAATTTTATTTTTTAATTCAAATATTTTTTTACATAATTTATACTACAAAAATTAATTTATTATCAATAAATATATTTTTAATTTAATAATTTAATTATATTTATTATGAAGTAAATATAATATTACTAATATTTTATATCCAAATTATTATTTTTAAATAATATTGAAATTATTAACTTGTATACCTATTATTATATGTATAGTAATTTTGATATTTTTAAATAAAATAATATTTAATTTTTAATAATATCAAATACAAAAATCTTTAATTACTAAGAACTAATGATTTTTAATCAAATTAAGTGATTCAAGATCATAAATAATAAGATTATTTTAGTAATAAGATTATATCTATGATTAAATTATCATGATCATTTTGAAAATGATACCAAACATTAAAAAAATCCTCTCACCTCCTGTGCCAAAAAGGAAAAAAAAAAAAAAAAGACCCCCCTGCCTTCATTATTTTGCAATGTAAAGATCACTTCCTTTTCAAACCAGCCTACGTAAAGATCGTTTGTTCTAAAATCAATGATATTAAAAGCACACTCACAAAATTTGTCATTTACAATAATAGCATACCTTCTGAAATAATCTAATTTTACTATTATTTAGTATAGCTATAAAATTCAATAAAATTGAAGTACATTAACTATTGAATCAAAAGTTATAATATAGTTACAAATTTCATTTTAATCTCCAAAACTATTATTGCCTATGTTGTTTGATCTCCCTTTTTTTTTTTTTTTACATTTCTGTTTTCTTGAAAATTATTCTCTTCATCAGGGATGCCTAGTGTGTGGAACTATATGTGCCTCAAAAGGATCGTTTCTTATCTGTTGATGCAACCCACATCAGGTAAATAATACTCAACAGTAGGCTGCTAAATATGATAATTTTATGTACTTGTATTGTATCAAATAGATATAAAATATAAAAAATTATCATACCCAATGTATAATATAATTTTTTATTTTTTATCAAATTCATATATAATTTTTATTAAAATTTTAAATAATATTATTTTCGTGTTTTTTTCGTATTATTTTCATGTGATGTCATTTACGTGTTTAAAATTATCATTTACAATTATATGATGTTTTCAAGGTTCTTAAAACTGAAATATTAGTTCCTGCTTGAGACTTCCGTTTAAGATGTTGAATCAATTTCAAGACTTTGGATGCTAGATCTTCAGTTCACATAAATTTAACTTAAACGTGTAATCGAGTCAAATCAAATTGATATTATAAGAAGCTCAAACTCGATTTAAAATTCGTTACTTAAAACTCGATTTAAATTTGATCAATTTTTAATTTTTAAATTTAAGCTTTACTTGAAATAAAAGTCAAATTACTCAAATTTACTTGATTTTAAATTTGATTATTTGTATTCGAATTCAAATTTAAATTGATATATAAAAACAAAATAATAAAAATATATATTAAAATAAAAAAATTTAATTAAATTCGTGAATTATTTGAATTAGATATTATAATGCTCAAACTTAACTTGTTTGATAAATCGAGCAACTTAAACTCAAATTCAGTTTGATAATAATTAAATTGAATTCGAATTTTATCAAAGTTAAACTCAAATTGCTGGTGTATCATTTATATATACACCACTATTTGAACCATGTTAGCTGTTCCTTCCGGGCTGCGTTGATTCAGCTCCTCGTAGTATAGGATAACATCTTCAGCAAAGGCATTAAAAAACAAAAGAGATGCCAAAAACATGATATCTTTTAGATACAGCGAATCTCGGGAAGAAAAATTTACATGGAAGGTTAATGTTAGCTTCCAATCACAACAACCCAATCCAACTATACAAACCAAATTCCTGCCCGTTACATGACATGCAAGTACATGAACAAATCCCCCACAACATTGCACACCAACTTTGAACAATTTCATGAAATGTAAAGTCTCGCGACCCCAATTTCAGTATAACATCTGAATCTCAGTGTGTTGTGGCTATGAACGAATAAGTTTACGAGGGTTGCAACTTGCATTTGCCGGTGAAAGCAGTCGGAGAACCTCGGAGCAAGCGTGTTTAAGAATCATTCTCCATTTGTTCCTATAATGTTGAAGCTGAGTATATACATTTTAATTTTTATTGGTTCCTCACTTCTCAAGACGTGCTTTACGTACGGCCTGCTGGATTTGTCTCTCGTGCTCTTTCAGTATATCATCAATGTTTCCCCCAGGAGGCATCAGTGGTCCAGAGCAGTGGATCCTGTTTTTCCTTTGTACATAACCCTGCAATAACACAGCCAAAGAATATATGGCTTGAGAAAATCCATCAGTAAATGAGGAAAGAAAGCAAGAAAATCAGAAGGATAATCATATCAGATGGGAAAAATACACTAGATAAAACTTTACTCGTTTATGCAAGGGGCACACTTTAAACAGCTTTGTCAACTGAGAAAAACAAAAACATAAAAATAGATAATCTGCAATCTGTTTCGCAATCTCAGCTATTGTCAGAATAAGATGTATTGAGTTTTACCGATTAAAATTGCATATATATATATATATATGTATATTGTACAAGTGATGCTAAGTCACTTGCAGATAGCAAAGACGTGATAGTCTCTGAGTTGGCTAGGAAGATTTATGTTAAAACCAATATTTGTTAGATATTTCTATCAGAAAATCAACGTTTGACACACCTAATGTTAAATAAACTCATCTAACATGTCAGATACTTGCACAGACAACGATAAAAAGAATTTCACTTCATGAGCTCGGACATTTCCAAATTACGACAGCACATATTGTTGGTGGTTACCATTATTATAGCCTATGAATTCATGTATGGGGTTCCATATCTCATTCGATGTATGTAATGATGATTATGATGATCTGACCAAAAAACGATGATGGTGATGACAATAATGATAACAATAATAGTTACAACAAGGAAATGTAAGCAGAAACAGTTGGTTATTTACCGATGCTGGATCTTTGTTTGGTGCTCTATCATCTTTCATATAGGTAGTGTTAGCTGCCTGTGGCTTCCGTGTATTATGTGTTCTTAACTCGCCACTATTTCTTATAGAACCTGCCTTATTCCATGGTCCTGCTGCAGTAGGGTGGATCATTGAAGAGGAATGAGATAAACCAGTCTGCGAAGTCACCTTGTGTGGATCAATTAAGAAGCCAGAGGCACCTTCCTCAAGATGGTCATATTTATAACTGGTGCTTGTTTTGGACTGTCCCTGAGAAATGAATTCTGGTGTTGGCACTCCCTTAAATTCTCTTGAACCTCTTCTAACAGATTCAGGTCCTCGTCCCTTCACAGCCTCTGCTCTTTTCCTGAAGTTACAAGAGAGAATACATGTTTAGAAAGAGGGGTCCAAAAATTTTCCAAAGATGAAAAAGAGAAAAAGTATGGAAGATCATGTCTTTTCACTCTTAGGCATCCATCAACATGGGATATATGCATCAAAAGACTATATAGTTAAGCCAATGGAATTGAAAAGTGCAACAAGAAATATTAAAGGCCCCAAAAAACATACCTTCTTGCTTCCTCGTCACGATGCTTGGCATCTAGTTCTTTGCTTGGAGGATATTTTGGCAAATTTGATGGATCACAAGGGAAAGGCTCTGTTCTGAAGAACTGAAAAGGCAAAAAAAAAAAAAAAAAAGTAAAAAATGTATTTTAAATTCCAATTGATAATTCAAACAATCAACAGTGTAGCAGAAGAAGGTTAAAATTCACATCAAGCTGGAAATTTATATTTCAAGAAGAGGAGAAAATACTAAACAACAATAAAATGCATATTGATGGTTGTCCAAATACCTCACTTCTAAGTACTGAACCAACTGATCCTCGATCCTTGGGTTCCATTGCGAGTAGTTTATCAACAAGAGCCAAGGCAGAATGAGGGAAGTTTCTGAAAGTCTCAGCAATACAGCGCTTGTAAGGTTGTTGGGGTTTGAAACTAGTTGCATGTGGAAGTTTTGTTTTCTGCCAGTACTCCTCAGAGGGTGAACCGCAGAGTTTAAAGATCTTATGCATTTGCTCCACCTGGAAATAATCAGACAAAGAAGAAGGAAAAAAAAAAGTGATCACCAAAGTAAAATGGAAAATTATGGATGAATATATGAATCTTTTACAATGCAGCCCTACTCAACGCCTTAATCTCAAACTAAATATTATGGTTGGCTACAAAATTCTTTTCTCTCCATACAGCTCAAACTAAGCTACATTTCTTGACAGAACTAAGATCCTTGTTTACTCCAACCATTAGAATCTTTGTCCTACCTCTACCTTTCTTCATTTCTTCTCCTTACATCACATCATCTTATCTATTGGAGGCTCTCTAAGTTAAGTTCATTGCTAATTGGCATAACATTTTTGAGCAGATAAAGGGCGGTACAGGACCTAAATAAACAGATGCTTCTGAAATCAGCATAGATGATGGTGCTGAACAATGTGCATTAGTGCTATATGTACTCACTAACCTTGTCTACGACAAAGTTGTAGGACAAAATTCAGACAGAAAAGAATGAACATAAGCACTAAAGAAAAACAAGAAAACTAAAAGAAAAGAAGAAAGAAGAAGGAAAAGAAAATCTTTGAGAACTTGACTGTTGGGATTTTCTTGAACCTGACATTTTCATAACTTTTTGTTTGGGTTTGTTCTCTTTTGATTTTATTTTCTTTGTTTTAACTCTTTCAATCTGTTAGCATTCTTCTTCAGAAGAGACATAAAGCAAAATGAAAGTGCATTTGCAACAATATGCAGAATCAGTTTTGTAATCATATTCCAACACATAAAAAATTGGCTACCTCTGTTCTTCCGGGCATAATAGGCTTCCCAGCGAATAATTCAGCAAGGATACAACCAGAACTCCACAAATCTATAGCAACTCCATATTCAGTGGCTCCAAGCAAAAGCTCAGGTGCCCTGTACCAAAGAGTTACGACACGACTTGTTAGCGGCTGCTTTTGATCAGCCCGAAAGAATGTAGCCAAACCAAAATCTGCAATCTTAAGAACTCCATTATTGTCAATTAGAAGATTTGAGCCCTTGATGTCTCTGTGCAGGACACCACGGCTATGGCAGTGTTCAAGGCCACGAAACAGTTGTTGCATGTAACATTTAATCTACAGAAAAGTCACATATGCCTCTTAGAAGACCAACAGCAGATATAACATGAATAAGATGTTTTATTATCATTGCAAATAATAATAATAAGAGAAGAAAATATGCCGTAATGAGAATTAGCAGATTACTACTTATATAAAGTGCAGGGATCATAAGGCATGTTTAGCAAAAGCATATTGAAGTCTCCATCAAATTAACACTGTCCTGCCATTGCTCGATTGGTAGATTAACTCACATAATTATGTTGCCTCCCCAAAGTGAATTTAATTTAAAGAAAAATATGGAGCGGAAGCAAAGACAAAGTAGGAAAATATTTAGATTTCATAAGCTCAAAACGGTTGAGGTTAAAGATAAACCCAATCAAACATTGAGTTATTTTATACCTGAAATAAGTAATAAATAGAGAAGCCAGTACCTGTGGTTCAGTGAACTTGATGCCAGGAGTTGCTGCTAGCCCAGCAAGGTCATGCTCCATGTACTCAAAAACAAGATACAAGCTGCATGACATCTTTGAAGTGACTAGACCCTCAAGCTTCATAACATTTGGATGGTGAAGCTTCCGTAAAATAATAATTTCTCGAGCCATAAAACGGACACTTTCTGGATCCATATTAACAAACCGAACCTTCTTCATGGCAACAATTTTGCCAGTTTCTAGCTCTCGGGCCTTATATACACTGCTGTAAGTTCCTTGTCCTATCTGCATACACAACTTAGTATTTCAGTATGGCCAACAAAAAACATGTAAATCCCCAGATAATTTAACATATTCAGATGATAAAATTTTGTAGCAAACAAGAGAATCCAAGATAATCGAAAATTTGCAGAGACAAAGATGATTTGAGACATATATATATATATATATATATATGCAAAAGCAAAAATTCCAAAAACTGATGTTATACCAATATCAACCTGCATCAAACGCTATGCTCTACCAAAAATTAGTGCAATCCATAGTATTCATCAGCAAGAATGAAGCCCTTGTAATATGTCAATTGTTGCTCTTATAATGGAATGGACATAATTATAAAACAAAAGGATAGAAGATTAAATTTGAATTGATAGTACACTTGCCTAGTAATTGAAATATGTATATCATTTCAAAATGTATCCACACATGTCTGTATCAATGATTGTATAGATCTGTATATAGAATCGTGTGATGAATTTTAGGATCGCAAGGTTCCAGTAGATTGACATGGGTTTTCTTTTCCATGATATTTAGCTAACATGAACTAATGCATAATCTATAAGTGATCAGTACCAATAATTTACTGGCAATGCCTGCCTCTTCAACATATTAAGCACTTTTAAAGAGAAACGATAATTCAATTATTCATGCCTGCTCCATTTTAAAACTTTTCCTGTATTATCAAACTGGTATTCACGAAGTCGAATGTCATTGCTCCAAAATGTCTTTCAGATTAATGAACATGCAAGTTATTGGAAGAATGAACTAAATGCCTTCATATATATAACTATGATTTTTATGTATGCAACAGCAAAGGTACATCAAATGCCAAGAAGAAAACTACTATCCAAGTTTGAAGATAATTGATCCTTAAATGATAACTACAATGCTCAAGATAGTTGATCCAATATTTCTAGATAAGAACCAAATTGAATTGAAGAAAAAGCAAAAGTTGAACTGATTATAGAAAGGTCTGGAAAAGAAGCAGCAGGAGTACTTACTTTGTCTAACTTCTCAAAAGATTCCATCCGCCGAGGCAGCCATCCTTTAACAGCTTCTCCTGCAACTGAAGCTAACCATGATGGCCATCCAGCAGCAACTAGTTCTCCTTCAGGCCCATGAGGGGTGCTACGTATGCTACCCATCTGCGGGAACACCCCTGCCGCCATATCCACTTTTGGCAATGTTTGATGACCATTCCTGGGCATTTCTGATGTCAAGGATTTCTTGTCCCCTTCATTGACTGAAACAAGAGCAGACCCCAAACTAGGTTTGGATGCAGGACGTACGGATCCATCGTTGCCACCTCTAGCAATTAAAAGTTCGTTTTTCTGCGTGGGTGTAGGAGCAACCAATTGCACTGATGCCTTGTCGTTGCTGTTGTTGAAATCTTTCTCATTTTCATTGTCGTTAATATCCTCATCTTGGGCTCCTTTTGAGCAAATGCAGCCCATAATCTCTCCTAAGCAATCCCTTGTTTTTGAATAGCTATGCCGCAAATAATGCACAAAAGACAACGATGTTTTTACCATGCATTAAAAAAAAGGGAAACCCTGAATAAATCTTGGGATTCCCAGGTCCACCATTGTTACAAATTCCAACCTCACAACATTATTTCTCCATCATTTTCAGTCGCACCAAGCATTTAAACCATTTCTTGAGAAACAAGTTTTTCTTTACCTGTTCTATATGAAACACCCAAGTTATAAAAGAATCTCAACAATGAACCAATCAAAATCTGAGGAATTGGAGAATGATCAGAAGGAATAAACTAATAATAAAGAACAATATTTTCTATCTAATGTTGGAAGAGAAATGAGAAAATGGGTGGTAGAGAAAAACTTCAAATCCAAATGCCTGAGGGGAAGGAATGAAAACCCAGACCAAAAATCCCAAGAATGAACACAAAAACAATCTAAAAGAAAAAAAGAAAAAGGTTCCTTATTGCTGGAATGGAAAAAATAATGCTTTTTGTTTATCGTGGGACAGAAAGAACAGAAAATGGAAGGACAGGGAGGACATTATTGGAAGAAAAAAAAAAGAGAAAGTGGATGAGAAACGAAATGCAGGCGGTTTTGTGAGATTGACTCCTAAAATTGCGAGAAACCAAAGATTTTTGGGATATGACAGAGACAGACAGACAGTAGTGTGGTCTTTCGTTTTTGTTTCACTTTGCTGTTTCTGATTTCACTCTGTTTTTGTTTTTCAGACAATTGCTGACTTGGTTTGTTACTCTGCTTGGATTGATCATCTATGGAGGGAAAACTGAAAAAAAATTCTCCAACTCAACTGTTTGAGTAAAGTCCAGACGTGCTGTGCAGTATCGTGTGGTGGTGGGTCCATGTTATGTCACATACCAAAGGATCACACGTGGAGTTTTAGTTATGGATATCCACATCCCCCTTCTCCAACGAAATAATTGCCGCCAAATTCTTCAATATATATTGTATCAGTGGTTGGTAATATGATCGAGTCTTATAATGAAATTTTTAATATGGTGTTTAAATTTTAAAATTTTTTAATATAATATTTAAATTATAAATTTATTAATTAATTTGATATTTATTTTTATGTGATTAATTTTAAATTAGGATATATGATAGATAAATAATTTTTTAAATGCTTCATTAATAAGGATATCAATCTTATTCATATGTAATGAAAAACTTAATTTTTTATTTGAATGGAGATAGTGATGGATATTATATTATGAAGATGAGAATAAAAATGGATAAAATTTTAAAATTTTATTTGGTATAGGATAGAAAGGCATAATATAGTATCTGCCTCATACTTATACCCTATATATATTTATATATATATAGTAAATAAATTTTTTTATTAAATAATATAAAATATTATTTTAGATTAATTAGAATTAATATATTTTATTGAAGAAATATATATTAATATATATTTATAAAAATTTTACCTAAATATAGAATACAAAAATAAAAAAAATTTTAAAAATAAATTTTATTTTTTATTTTTTTTAAACTATGGGTATGAGTAATACCCAATATATTAAATACTTGCTAGGATGGAGATAAAAATAAATTTAAAATATTCATTAGGTATAGAGACGAAAATGAGTATAATATAAAAATCTAAAAATAAAGATAGAAAATACTTTATCCTACTTATACTTTACCCAATAACATCCCTATTTATTAATATAAATTCGTTATTCAAATATTATATTAAAAAATTTTTAAATTTAAATATCATATTAAATAATTTATTATAATTTAAAAATTATTCGTAATATTAATACTTTTATGTATGTATATATAAATATATATTTTGCATTCTTTTTGACTCTCGAACAAGATTTTATTGGAACTAAAAATAAATAATAATTAATAGAACTTGTTGGTTAATTTTAGACTTCAAATTAACAAAGTTTTGAAGTGCAACTTTGATGAGCTTAATAATTTGAAGTGAATCAACTTAGTGAAATAAGATCAAAAGGCACCAATTTGCAAATCATCAAATAATTTTCACCAATAAGTGATTAATTCAATCGATTAAATTCGTTTTTCTTGACGAAAAGGTTTTTGGTTTGAGTCCTGTCGGTGGTCATTTGTTGGAGTCATCTCGAATGCACAACCTGCAACCACCTGTTTTAAGCTTTTAGGTACGATAGTTATGACTTGGGAGACTAAGCAGCTTATTTACCTTTGAATTTTTTCTTATAAAAAAAAATTTTTTTTTTTCATTCAAGCAAGATGATCGATATTTCCTTTTGCCAATAAAATTTCGCTGTTAAGTACAGCATATCTTGCTATGACTTGAAAGATTGAGCAGTCTATCTATCTTTGAATTTTTTCTTACAAAAAATTTTTTTTTTTCATTCAAGCAAGATGATCGGTATTTCCCTCCCGCCAATAAAATTTCACCTCTCTCATGTTCCTCCAACCAATTCCACTCACTCTCCTAATTTTTCACTAAACAGTAATCAAATTTCACTCAATGGAACTTTAGATCTCATTTCAATATAGTTGAAACTCTGCCAAATTCTCCTCAAACATTCATAACCTGAAGAGGAATCAAAATTCTGCTTTGGTTGTACTTATTAATAGTTTCAATTTGGTAATCTTTAGACGTTCGTGTGACTTAATATATTCATGAAACATTGATCACCATGAAGACTTAGATACACATGATGGCTTGCATGAATTTAATAATTAATAAGCTATATTATTTATTTCTAAATTTCTATCTTGTAGAATCTTATATTAGGGTTTATTTATATCCATTGTTATTTTATTTAAGAATGTCATATAGTATTATGATTAGGGTTAAGCATATTTAAATGCATCATGTGAGGTAGGGTGCATCTTTTACTTTTATTTTATGTTTTATTTACTATCCAAGTTATTTGCTTTAATTATTGTTTGCATCATCATTAATGATGGACAAATCACCTATCTCTTTTTAATGCATGTGTGATAGCATAGAACATTTAATTATACAATTCTTTATTTACATGAAGTGAGTGATGAGATGTACTCTATGATTTTAAGCTGAAGTAAAAAAGTAATAAGCTGGATTACCCAAAGTAGGAGGTAGAATAATTGATTCCTTCTATACTTAATTTGTGCCCTAATCTTCAAATCAAGTTCTTTGTAAAAACGAGACTAATGGCCTTGTTGCTTATGTAACTGGTTTTCGATTTTATTCGTACGTAAACCAAATGATGACTTGTAAAATCAAAGTTACACCTAAACAAAAGCAATAAGGTACCTAATGAGGTCAAATCCAGTTAATAAACTAAAATATTTGACATGAAGGTAAATTACTAGAGTTTAATTTCAGGGGAAAATGGGTTGTGGCATTGATATGAATAGCATCAGCCTTGAATTGCTTGCGTTAGAGGAAACTGAGTTGATGGAAGATATTGGATCTTTTTGCTGTTAAGCGAGTGAAACTCTGATATACTGATATCAATACCATAATGTAGTAAAACATTTTTATGTGGATTGAAGGAATACTATTATTAATGAGGAAAGATCAATTTAAACTAATGTAAAATTTTTTAGTTTTATATTTTTTTAATATTAATTTTAATAAATTTAAGAGGTAAAAAGCAATTAAAAAAAAATGATTTAATCTTATTGTTTAGATATATTAAAATCAATAATTAAAAATATGTGTAAATCTAAAAAATTTTATATTGATGCAAGTTGAACTCTCCCTATTATTAATATATGTAGCATTACATATACAAGCGAATTATTATTATTATTATTATTATTATTTTGCTGTTAACCAAAATATACTTTAAGTATTAGGGCAATTGTCTTCGTTCATATGTTCGTCGTAAAAGGAATTGAGTTGCGGATTTGATGGCAAGAAAAAGCAAATCTTCAACTTTGTCCATTTAATTGGATTTCTTTTCTTCTGTCGGATCTTCAAAGCCTTATGCATTTGGATTTTGAATTTAAGTTGTTAGATGATGTTAAATGAAACGTAGCTATATGATATACTGCAGTTGTGGAGGCAAGAGAAATTATAGTTTTTTTTTTTTTTTTTAAACCAAAATGGGCTTTAGGCTTTTGAAGTTTTAACAAAAGAGAGCAAAATAATTTGTTGAGCAATTATGATTCTATATCTTTTTTGTACATATAAAACTAGCTTTTAGTTTTTTTATTGGATTTCATGTGCTGTTTTTTTTTCTTTTCCTTTTTGAATTTTATTCTTAAATATTTTTTTTAACAAAATTTATTTTTTTCATTTTTCAAAAATATTATTAAGTATACATAGTAGTTCTATCATTAATATCTTTAAAATGAAATAAAATTTTTTTTGGATGTTTTGAAACAAAAGCACCCTAAGAAAGATAAGAAGAACTATAAAAAAAAAAAAGAAAAATTTTAAATAAAACAAATGTTGTTATTAGATATACAATTCTACATGCTAATTCTATATATGATTTTATCTCTTTAAAATAAGATGAGAAAAAATAAAAGATAAGTGACTTAAAAAGAAGGAGAAATATAAGAAAAAAATTTTAAATAAATATTATTTCCAATTATTTTTAATTTAGAATAATTTTTTAAAAAAATTATTACATATAAAAGTTTATTGATTTATACTTTTTTTTAAAAAATTTCTAATTTACTCTAAAATTTTCTTATTTTACTATATACTTAGTTGAAGAGAACATTATACGTTCAAATTTTTTTGAACCTTTAACCTTTAAATACTAACTTTAATGATAAATCAATTGATCAAAGGAATAGTTGACTTATTTATTTATACTTTAAATATGAAAAACATTAGTAAATCTCACAACCAAATTTAGATAGATTTTAGTTGTATATTAGATTATGAAACACCCATTACATGAGTGAAAAAGAACAAATAAATGAAAAAAAAATTAAAATAAAGTAGAAAATATAGAAGAAAAGGAAATTATTGCATAATTTTAGTATTTCTCAATTGATTGAAAAGAAATTATTTATATGTTATTTTCTTTTCTATTTTTATTGGTTTGTTGGTTATTAAATTTAAATAAATTAATATAATTTAATTCGTAACATCAAACTCAATCAAATATTTTATATATAATAATTAGAGTACATGATTGAAATAATATTAACATTGTATAAGATGAAGATATTTAACGTGAAGAAATTTTTAAATTTTATCCTGTGTTTTCTATTTTTAAAAACAAATTGGTCCAAACAAATTTATTTTTGTCATATATAACAAATTTATAAAAATTATTTTTTCATATTTTTTTAATCGATACGAATCTAAACAATAGAAAAACACATTCTTGAGCCCACCTCAATTAATTTATCCTTTTTACTTTCAATATATGAGAAAGAATCCTTGCAAACAAAAAAAAAAAAAAACAGATGTAATACACCCTTCCAATTGTCGCAACAATAGCTAGTCAGCTAAGTCACACCCAAAATGTGTTTCCCTTTTCCTAACGCTCACTGCATGTAATACCAGATGTAGTTTGTTCCTCTTATCACTCATTACTTTCAAAATTTTCCTCTGCTTCTTCTCATTACCAAATCTTTCTTAATTTCTAACTATATATATATATATATTCAGATATCAACTTACAAACATTGATAGTGGTAATGATCGATGGATTTGCTAAACTCATTTCTGAATCTGGTGGTGCTTCCTGCAAGCATGATGATGCTGGCCTTTGCATGGCCAGTCTTGTGCTTTATCCATACATGTGAATGGCTTTACAATGCATTGTACACTACTGAGACTATGGATGACAAAGTGGTTATAACAGTTAGTATTGTACAGTAACAGTGATTCGGCTTTGTTTTCCTACTGATCAAGACATTCTAGAACATGGAGAGTGTTTCATGCCATAGGTATGCCAACTTCATCCATATCATTAATCCATTAGACCAAAATCATGAAGTATTGTCTTGTTACAAAATGGTTTATGACTGCAGCAAATTGCATATGAATATGCAAGGAGGAGGGCTAACCTTGTGTTGGTTGCAAGGAGAGAACATCGACTTCTAGCAATTAGTGAGAAAGCAAGACAACTTGGTACAAAGAATGTCACCGTAATTGCTGCAGATGTTGTTAAGGAAGATGATTGTAGGAGATTTGTTAATGAAACATAAACCTCTATGGGGGTGGTAAGTTCCATTTTCATTGAGTTTGATGCATGGTTGGCGAAATTTGATATAGCACTTAACTAAGATAATCATAAACGTGCTCATGTATATTATATGTTGTTATCCACGGCCCTTAGCACAAAAAGGCATTTATTTGAACCATTTGAGTAAAGAAATTTCAATTTTTTCTGCAAATTCATATAAATTTCTGTATCTTCTCTTTGAATTTAGCAAATAACTGCTAGCAAGTTAAATGCCATATTCTTATTTTTGCGCCTAGCTATAAGCCTTATGTTGAGCAATAGCCTATCCTTTTTTGTAGCTGACCTTCAATTTTGTGATATAAATCAGGATGTTCAGAACATAAGTAATAGCAACTGATAAGACCCTATATGCTCATAGTAATGCTATTCAGAAGTTTCCTTAACTACATCGAACTCAAATAATTTTCTTATTTGCTCCATTTTGTTTTTGACTCTTCACGCAATATCACAGTGGATCGTCTGGTGAACGCAGCGAGTTTGGGACGTACATTCTACTTTGAGGAACTTACAGACACCTCAGTGTTTCCCCTTTTGTTGGTAAGGCATTTCAAATTCACAAGTAAATAGACATCCAACAAATCCATGAATTTGAGAATAATGTGCTATTTATTTGCGTTGTATCACATAATTTTTACTAAATTTGAAATCCAAGTCCCTTCTCTTAAATCCATGTTCCCAAGTGCAACCTTATGGATTTGTTGGTTTTGTTAAATTGCTCGGCATTTGTCAGTAATAAATATTTCTTGGTATTTGTTCTATTATTTCCCATGACATAAACTTTTGGGGAAATGTTTATCCAACATTTGTTGCTCTTCGGCACCTAAATCAAAGTAACGGTTGAGTTATCGTGAATGCATCAGTGGAGAATTGGCTACCATTGCCAAGAATGAGTTTGTATGCTTTGAGTATATATAAATCCATCATCACCATCATAATAATCATTGATTTTGTTTTCCGTAGCATTAAGATGCAAATACCAAGATTCTGGTCATTTTGTTAGGGTAACACATAAGATATCCATATTTATTATTGACAAGCACGACATGAGCATCCGATTTGATCATATATAGTTCTTACAAGATCATAAAAATTGGAATTCAAATTCTTTAGCATTAGTCTTTGACACACAGAATGCTCTGGATACAATGCAATGTAAGGCACAAACATTTCATTGAATTCGAATGCCAGTCCAATTTTCATGAGCTATTAATGCATTAGTACTTTCGACTCTATCTTAATCCTTAGTTTTCCTGATTGTAACACAGGAATAATTATTTCCGTAATATTAAAAAATAAAATATTTGTTTCTGTTTATGTACGTATCACCCTAACCCTGTTTTCCCATGTGTTAGGCTGCAAAAGCTGCTCTTGTAAATTTCTATGAGACTCTAAGATTTGAAGTAAATGATGAGGTTGGAATAACAATCGCAACACATGGTTGGATTGGCAGTGAAATGACGAGAGGAAAGTTTATGCTCGACGAGGGAGTAGAGATGCAATGGAAGGAAGAACGAGAGGTAAGCAGTAATAATTAATTAGCTGCAATATGATCTTCGTTAGAATACGTGGGGCCCAGCCACATATAATTGGTTTTGGCTAATTAAAAGGTCTTAAAAGTCATTTTTGTCTTTGACCGAAGAGTACCCAACGTAATAAAAGATGAGAGGGTTGGTTTTGGCATGAAAAAAAAAAAAGAGGTGGTCCAGCCAGCCTAAAAGGGTAAAAAAGAAAAAAAAATATAGAAAGAAAAGGGAGAAGGAATCGTTGGTTTAATAGAAGTTGATTCATAATTTGATTGAGTTAAAATTTTATTAATAGATTTATGATTTAAAATTTTATATTTTAAATAATAAAAATTAAATTTAAAATTTTTAAAAATAAATTCAGAATGTATTTATTAAGTCATAGATTTTTTTTATAATTGTTAATTAATTATAATTTTAGATAAAAAAATATTTTGTATATTTATTATTTGATAGTAAAAATTTTTTTTTATGATTCATGGCTTTTTTTCTCTATACTAAAATATTTTTTACGTATTTTATTTTTTTGTGTTATTAATTATTGATTGTTATTTATTAATGTGGGTCTATTGTGATATATTACTTTTGTATTATTGTATTTATTACTTCAAACCTAACAATCTTAAGAATAGTACTGTCATTCTCAACATTGAATTATTTGTTCAATACACATCCATGGTCTTCAACATGAACTTTAGTGTATTGAAATTTCAAATGGATATTAGCCGTTAATAGCTTGCCTCATCGAATTTAGTACTGGTACAAAGGCAGTGGGAAGTGTAGCATTGCTCAGTTATAAAAAGAAAGGTGGGGATGTAGTGTAGTGTAGTGTAGTGTACGTTGGGGAAGAAAAGAGAAAGAGTGGCTGTGAAATTTACATATGAAAGTCTTGCAATAATGAAATGTAATTCCATTTGACCAGGAGTTCTTTTGAGACTAGTGAACCAGCTTCTAGAATCATTCTGGAATCAATTAGTTGCCATTCTTGAATCTACTGCCTTGGGTGCTGAATACGTTTTAATAAGAAATCATTAGGTTAATTATGTGTTTTTTTCTATTAAAATTTAAATTTTAAATTTGATGAATGTCCGATTGCATCATTACATGTATCAATTGAGCTAAACTTTTAATTCAATAATTAGTTCAATAATTATGTGGTGTTATTATAATAAAACTGACCGCAACTATCATGGATATGCAAATATATATTGATTTGGAGACGGGAGAATTCAAGCAGGGATCATGCCATGTGAGTATAGGTGTAAGGCAATTTTGAAATTGGCCAGAAATCTAATTAGTAAATATATATAATTGTTGCAGGTACGAGTGAGCGGTGGGCCTCTGGAAGAGTTTGCGAGGCTGATTGTTTCAGGGGCTTGCCGGGGGCATGCATATGTGAAGTACCCGAGTTGGCACGACACATTCCTCCCCTATAGAGTTTTTGCACCCAATATACTTAACTGGAATTTCCGACTTCTCCTTTCAGCTCATGGTACCAGAAGAATTTCCAAGGTGGGTGTTGGGAAACCGCTATCTCTTCAAGGCACTGCCGCCAGATATCATGTATCGGATTCGGAGGGCACCTCTTCTTGGCTGCTTCCTACTGGTCCCATTACCTTCTCCCAGTTGCAGCAGCAGAAGATGGAGTAGCTGCATGCATAGCATTTGCCTGGCATCCTTTTAAACTTAAGTTTTACTCTTAATTTGTTCATTACTTTTGGATTTCAATTATAGAATAAATGTGTTCTGTTCAGAAATTATTGGCACCTAATTGTTGGAATCCAAATTTGGACAGATTTCTTCTAATCAAGGAAGTGGGAATAAAGAATATTGAAAACAAGAATAATTTAATCTTAAATCCATCAATAAAATAACTCTAAAATCTTTTTTAAAAATATTTAAAATAATATATTTATATTATATAAAAAATAATACATTTATAATAAAACTCTAAAATCTTAAAAAAAAATCATCAATAAAAAGACTTTTTTTAAAATATTAATTATGAGGATGCCTTGAAATCTTTAATTTTTAAGTTCTTAAGTTTAACTTTCATTCTCCTTTGATAATTAATATCATCATTTATAATGTTTTTTATTGATACATATATTTTCATAAAAAAAGAAAAAAAAAGTTTTATTAACTTATAATGTAGTATTAGCAATGTTTTATATACAAGCATGATTTCCTGGTTTGTGACCGTGTGGAAAGGCCGATTTCGGAAGTACCGGCAGCTGAGTCAGGAAGCTTCTCACTTTGTCACTGGGCCCATAACCTCTTATTGAGTAACCCAATAAAGCCTTGCGCATATATGCTTTGTCATATATTCATTCTTTCTGGCCTTTTTAGTTATTTGTTCATGGATTTTGGATTACTTTTTTGGGATAAAAGTTGAGATTTGCAACTTGCTTAGTAAGCAGATGAACTTTGGCTTTGGTTGCTTCTACGTCAAATATACTATGCACCCATTCCCTTAATTTTTTGTTTGGTTTCACCTTAATTACTTGTTGTCCACTTGCTCCTTTTTAATAGATTTGAAATTAAAATATGATATGATACGGTACGATTTAAAAATAATATAAAATTTTAATAAAAATTATATATAAATTAAATTTAATAATAATAAAAAATATATTTTATATTTTTTTATTGATACAAATTAAGATATATAATTTTTATATAAAATATTATATAAATATAAAAATTATCAATATTTTATAAAATATAAATATATTAATTGTTAAGTCTATTTTTTAATTGTTTTAAGTATCTTTGTTAATTTTATATATGATATGAGAATAATACAAAAAAATAAAAATGACATAATTTAATATTTTTACAAAAAAATATATAGATTTAGTAAAATTAAAAAATATATTTTATATTTGATGTATCGATAAAAATTATAATATAATAATTTTTATTTTTATAAATTTTTATACAAAATAAATATAATACATGTACATAAATTACTTAATTTATTTTTAAGGTTATAGAAAATTTTTTTTTAAAAAGGTAAAAAAATAATTATTAATAACAGCACAAGCTAGAATTAAATAACTATTCCACGCTACTGAAAATTTTGAATCAATTAACATAACAATAAGAATTATCATGTAGGACCTCATGTAAGCAGCGAAGCTACCGCCCACCGGTATTCGTCTTTTGGTAAAAGTCTGTCGGCCAAGTGGGGAGCTGCTAAATTTACCGAGTCCATTTGATTTTTAGTCAAAAGCTTAAAAGAGTCAACTCTTGAATTGGATTTGAATTCCAAAGGTTTCATATTGTTTGACCAATCATTCAATGCCCGATCACCCACTTCACGTGCTGTAATCTGGGTTTTGTAATCTATTTCTTCCAAATTCATTGTTCAATGTCATCCGAATTATAGATATGGTGAATGTTAATTTTTTTCATTGTTAATATTAAAATTCAAACATTAAATCTATTAAATGTCACAGAAAATTTAAATTCGATGTATATATCATATAGGATTGCATGAACTAGTTGCTAAAACTAGGTTCAAAATAAGAGAAAATTTCTGAACTAACAACAGCTGGCACATAACAACAACTAGCTAGGTGCCTGTGCTTTCTCGTTCTGATTTTTATGTACAAAATAATCTGCATGTAATATTAATGGCATTTTATTTAGACTTAGAGATGGATTAAGCTGTTTCTGATATCTGTCTAGAGGTAATCTTCAACGGAAATGCTCAAAGCCTCAAATTCTTTTCCCATGCTTCCTTCCCATGATCCATTGCTGCTATCGTTTTCCCAGGACTCTGTCTCCATTCCAATAATTCCACTGTTTTCATTTCCTTTGATTTCATTGTTGATGGGCCTGCTAACGATCATCTGAGCATCGACCGCCATGCCAGCATCCGATGCTGCTTTCTGGATAGACTTGGGAGACATGTTTGCATTGACATTCGGGGGTAACATGGATGGAAAGTTGAGAGCATTTAAAGAAGATGGTCGACGCAGACAAAAGAAAGCAATGTCATGAGAAATGGCAGCAGCTTCCGGGGTGGAATAAGAGCCTAACCAAAGTCGTTCTTGCGTGCCTGGAACTCGGATTTCAGACACCCATTTACCCCATCTTCGACGACGCACTCCCTTGTATTTCCTTTCAGGGTTGCTTCCATTTCCAAAGCTTTCTTCAACAGGACCACTCATCTTTCCAAAACGATGGTGTGATTAACCAAGATTTAAGACAAGAAATAGGCAGTGAGAATTGAGTAAAGGATGTGGAAATAAGAGCTTATATAGGTTGAAGAAACAGAAAGTCAGAGGCATTGAAAATAAAAGTGTATTATTTTATTGTAGGTCTAGACCACGAATAAGGCAGAGGGAGTCAAAGATAAAAGAAGGTCAAAGTAAGAAAACAGGAGGGGAGGAGAGGTGGACGGTGCCTTGAATAGGCATAATCAAGTTGAGAGAGGCTACCCAAAAAAAGGTGGTCACACTTGGGTTGCGATTAGACTTGTCCAGGAATTTAATTAAAACCACACTTATTCCTGTGGGATGGAATCAGCCGTTAGATCAAATTTAAAACCATTTTAGGCAAAGCTGCATAATGCATGACATCACCAATAATTTTTCACCGCTAAATAAATAAATAAATAAATCATATGGTCATCCTACTCTACTCTACTCTAGTTAGACTTAATCATTTTCAAGATGATATAATGTCATGGGCCCCTCATCCTCATCCTCTCGTTGTTAGAAGTGTTCGTGGCTTAGATTGGGCCATTAACATGGAATCTTAAGCTTCGGTTTAAATTTGACTGATTGATTGAATTATTATTTAAATATTTTAAAAAAATTATTATATTAATATTTTAATTTTGTTAATATAATTTAAAATTTATAAATATTATTTAATATTATAATAATATAACTAGGGTAAGTGGGGTTGAACTTAAAAATTATGTTCAGAATCCGATAAAAATCGAGCAAGTTTGGGGGACAGGTCTAGTCTTAATTCAAGTAATATAAATTTTATTAATATTTTCAATTTGAAATTGTGAACTGGACGAGATTGAATGAGTTTTACTTTTATCATTCCTATTTAGCATTGGGTTTTATTTAGGGTATTTTGAGTAGAGGTAAGTTAGAAGATAAGCTAGATGGTGAACTGGAAGTAATTTGGATTTGCAGTAAAAAAAGCATGGTCAAGAAGCATCGAAGTTGATTTTCGTAACGTGATTCGATCCTCAAGTCCATTCATATAAAGTTAGAATTTAGAATGAAGAAAGTAAGTTGGAGAGAGTATGAAGGAAGATTAAGGATGAAAGGTTTACATCAGTGTATTTGAATATCTTTTTACTTTATATAGGAGATATAAGACGACGATATGATACGAATATATAATAATTGATATTAAATTTAAGTGAAATTAAAAAAAAAATTATGTAAGTTAAAGTAAGTTACATCTAATAATTTTAAATAAATTTATTATTTTAAAATGATCTATTTATAAAATGTTAATAAAAATAGTTGGTGAGGTATCTCATTAAATAAAAAGATTCAAGTACGCTAACAATTCTCGGAGGTAAGCTTGTGTGATAGTGAGGAGTTTGAGTATCGAACCTTTTTTATGGTGACATAACAGTCGAGAGTGACCTTGTTAACTAAGTAATTAGGCATAATAATTGCCCTCCAAATCTGAAAGGGTTAAAAGTGATCATCCTTATACCTTTGTTGGGGAGTTTTTAGCAAGGCAAACTATGACGGAGTGCCATGTTAATGGCATGAGACGAGCCTGGTTGATGACATGTCACCTTTGTCAAGGCAACCCATTTCAGCAAGCCCGTTTGGCTACGTGTTATGGTGAGCTAAGGGGGTAGTAGGTGAGGACTTAAAATTTTTTTCTTATTTTAGGTGTTGTGAACCCGTTCGTGACATGGTAATTAGAGTGTGTTAGTGGCTGCATAGAGGGGAATGCAATCGTTAGTTTGTCTGTGCCACTGTATTATGAACGTAACATAAAGGGACAGGACTATAACGACGATAATTACTGCACCTTTAATTCAAACCGTTTTATGTGGGATAAGGGATTAATTCTAAATTTAAAAAATTGAGTCATTTCAAATGAACCCTTTCAAAAAATTGGATCTTTCGGCTTTTTTTGGTTTGTTAAGGTAAGGATTAGGTTGGTTTGTGGGGAGGTTCAGACACTTTAAATAGTGTAGAGAAGGCATCCGAAAATCTATTTACTAATTTGAAACGAGGAGTTTTATGTCTATTAGTTTACAAGGCTACTTTGTGAATACTCTGTTGTGTGAAATTCATCATTTGGATAAGTTATGTTGTTCTTTTTCTGAGATTCCATTAGTGTTTTAGGAAAAGCGACATGGCGTCCAAGAGAATTAGGAAGATTACTGTGTTTGATTCTAAAAGAAAGCAAGAGAATGTAATTGCCTCATTGGCTGAAACCACTGGGGAAGAGGGAAAGCTATGAAGGGCTAATAATAGGTATAATAACACCAGGATTGTGATGCGTAAGGGAGTGTTTCAAGGTCCAATGGTGGTGCCGGTGTTGGCAAAGGCAAAAAGAAGGGGAAGGAGGTGGTATTGGGGAGCCTAAATTGAAGGAGTGGATCGCGAATAATTATCCTTGCATTGTGACATCCTTCATGACGGACGTCGCACTGGAAAAGGTGGCATTCGATACGCAGAATGGCCAATACTTGGCATCACTCCTACTCACTAGGTTCACCATTAGTTGTGTGAGGTCCTATGTTGGCGTTGCAGTGTTTTACCTGTATCTTTTCAAGGCAGGGTTTCATTTGCCATTACACCCTTTCTTTCACACGATGGTGGCAATGTTTAATTTAGCACCATATCAACTAACACCGAATGGTTGGGGGATCATGATGATCTACTTTGTTCCCTTTAAGGTCAACAGCTAGGTTCCTTCGATAAATGTCCTAATAGCGTTGTTTACCCTGTTAAGGCAAAACAAGTGGTTGTACGTTCTGCAAGCATGAGGGAAATCGTATGTCACTGGCCTCCCTCCAACAATCATCCTAGCAATAATAGATTAATTATTTCTAAAGTGGTTGTGTGGGTGTGTCTTTTTCTTTCAAGGTGAGGTGGTCAGATGGGAATAGGGTGAGAAAACAATCTAGAAATTCAAAAATCAATTCAAAACTATAATATTTGATTTAGTTTAGATTAATATTTTTTTTATTCGATTCAAATTAAATTTAGATATTAAATATATATAATAGATTTAGATTGAATTTTGGATTGAGAGGTAAAAAATCGAAAAAAATTGAATCGAATCAAATTATATATATATTTTAAATTTTATATATATTTTAAATTTTTATAAAATAAAAATAATAATTTTATATCAAAATTTACTTAAATATATTAAAATTTTATATTAAAATAATATATAAAAAATTAAAAATTAAAAATCGATAAATCAAATCGAACTAAATTAAACTGATAAAATTTAATTCAAATTAAATAAAAATTTAATTTAATTTCAGATTAAATTTAAAATTTTTAAAATATTTTACAATATCCAAAAAAATCAAATCAAATATGATTTGAACTTTTGAATGTGCCTACTTGAAGTCATTCGAGAAATGAAGTTTTGGATGTGCCTACCTAAATCCCCGTTGAGATCTTGATTTTTTTAGGTTTATTGAAAAAACGATATCAAAAATTTTGAAATTTTAAAATTTTGCCTCCACTAAAATTATTGTTATCAAATTTACCCCTACTAAATTAAGGTTCATACAACAAAATATTTTATTATTTATCTAGTAATTGAATATTGATTCTTTGAGTGCTAAACAATTTCGTTATAATATCTTTATAAGTTTGTAAAAAAAAATGTAAATTACTTTTAGATAGTTTGAAATTATTAAATTTCAAATTGATCATAATAACATATTTAGATTGATATGAAGTGATCTTATAAAAATAACGAAACCTAGAGCTTATATTATAATGGTTTTAACCACTTATTTAACAAGAAAGAATTACCATATAAAATGTGAAGTAATAAAAATTAAAAATCATTTAGACTTATATCTTCATTTTTTTTTCATTGTATGTAAGAAAAAAGATATTTTTATTCTTTAAATTATAATGAATTAGAAATAAAAAATGTTCGTTTATTTGAAGTAAATGAAAAAATTAGACATATTAAAAGTGAATAATAAAACTAGATATGTTAATTCTTATATTATTCTTTCACATATTATATCTATCTTTAAAAATTTTATAAGCGAGATTTTATTAAATTAATATATGTGTTTTTATATTGAAAGTTGATTTATCCAAATAATATTTCGGCTATATTTATTAAGAAACATATAATTAATTTTAACTATTTTTCATGTACAAAAAATATGTTATACAACGTAATTTTATTTGTAATTTTTTATATTAATTTGTATTTCAATAAAAAAATTTTAAGTTAATTTAAAATATTTGCCTCCCCCACTAATCATAAATCATGGATCTATCCCTGAGGTGAATAGATTAAAACGGTGAATAATTGTGGATCTAATGTAATAAATATTCAAAAATCAAATATAATATTAAAAATTTTTAAAATTCAAATAACAAATTTAATATTTTCTTATGTTGAACCTATTTTCATGGATGTTTTCGAGATTTCTTCAATGCAAATGTCAATTAAAGTAGGCGAAATCCAAATGTTAATAAATGTAATTACTCTGCCAGCCGAGAAAGAAAAAATAATCTATTGAAAAGGTCCATTCTAAATGTTGATTTTTATTCTTTATCAAAAGAAAATATTTCTAATAAAAAAAATATATCAACCCAATTAAGACGCTCCCAAATGAAATTATCATTTTTTTTTTAAACAAAGTGGTAGGGTAATGTAAGAGAGAGATGCCAAGTTCAATAATTTTCTTTTGACTTCAAGTACCAAAAAAATTCAAAATTTTACTGCAACATTATTTTTTCTTTAGGATTGGGTACTCGCAAAGGTATCTCTTTTTTTTTTTTTTTTTTTTTAAATGGTTAAGAAAAAAAATAAAAAATTGTTGGATTATTTACTATTTCAAGTTTTAACTATATTATTTAGGGCTTTATTTTATATTGTCAGATCTATTGATAATGTAATTTTTTTAAGTTACAATAATAATTAAGTATTATATTAAATAATTGATTGAATAATTAATTATTATATCATAATTAAGTTATAATTATTGAATAATAATCAACTAACAAATTATAATTTAATTAAACAATTAGACTCACACAATAAGACTTGAATCTATAAT